TGGACCCGTTTTCCAGCAGGTGCAGCTCCCCACCAATAGAAAGGAGCCACCGTAAGGACATGGTACCTGATGATGCTCGTATCATCTCAGGTAACAGTCCCAGCGGATGTTTTTGTAAAAAAAAAAAAAAAAAAAAAAAAAAGTTACTACAGCAATAACAAGAATAGCGAGCCCAATTGCTAGATTTCAATAGTGCCACCTATTCAAAAAGTACTAGCAACTTACTAGTAATAAGTTACTACAGTAACAACAGGAATAGCGAGCCCAGTTGCTGGATTTCTATAGTGGCACGTATTCTTTTGCGTAGACTCATTCGTGCCGGTAATACGGTAAGTAACCGGACTGTTGGTCCCCAGAATAGAAGGGCCTTGTGTGTAAAAGGGGGAAAAAAAAAAGCAAAAAAAAAAAGAAAAAAAAGAGAAGTCATATCAAGAAATCAGCAGCAGCAGATTCTGCAGCTCGATCAAGCACCGCTTGCTTGCTGCTCGCTATATCCGGACAAGAAAAGCCACGTGGGTGCGCTATATCCGGACAAGGAAGTCCCGGATGCGGACAAGAATGGCCACGTGGGCGCGACATATCCGGACGAGAAAAGCCCCGGATGCGGACAAGAAGGCCACGTGGATGCGCTATATCCGGACAAGAAATGCCGCGTGGATGCGCTATATCCGGACAAGAACGGCCACGTGGGTGCGCTACATCCGGACAAGAAAGGCCACGTGGGTGCGCTACATCCGGCGGACAAGAAAGGCCGGGATGCAGTGGTTAGGCAGAGAGGAAAGGGAAGGAAGGCCCGGATGCCTGATCTCCGCACACGCCGCCGCTCTACGCTATGAGAATTTTTGAGATGGGAGCGCCGGTAATGTAATAAGGGGCGGGGGGGAAGGGGGGTTGTTGTGGGGGGGGGGCGCACGTTGAGACGGATTTTCGGAGTAAGGGGGGAGGTGGGCAGAAAGGAAGAAAGGCCCGATCGCGCGATCGTCGCACACAACCGCCGCGCTACGCTATGGGATTATGAGATGCAAGCTCCCCTGATGTAATAAAGAAGGGGGGTGGGGGGGGAGAGGGGAGGAGGGCAGAGGGAGACGGGTTTTCGGGGAAAGGAGGGAGGCTCGGTGCACGTGAGGTGTAGGACAGGCGGTCGCCACGTGGTGATAAGTGACGAGGAGAGAGAGACGATCACCTCCCTCTCCCGATATCGCATTGCAGTAACTGCTACTGTCTTCACCCGAATAGAACGCCCGGTCATTATAGCCGAATCTGGACTGAAAGTCGCACCAAATACGGCTATAATGATCGGGCGTTCTATTCGGGTGAAGACGGGGGAAAAACATAAGGTGATTGGCATTCAGCATTAGATAGCTAGCTGTGGATCCGAGTACAAACGAAAAAAGAGAATAAAGATAGTCGTTTAATTTTTATCCTGATGTCTACTATGATTAGCCATGATGTAATTGGTGCATGGGAGAGAGAGACGATCACCTCCACCTCCCTCTCCCGAAAGGCGCATTGTCGTGGCTGCTACCGTCTTCCCCCGAACATAACGCACCCTAAAAATGAATGTAGTCCGGCCAGATACAGCCAAAATAAGGGTGCGTTGTGTTCGGGGGAAGACGGTAGTGTTGGGGAGGGAGGGAAAACATCACGTGATTGGAATTCAGCAGTAGATAGGTAGTGGTGTGTGTTTTTTTTTTTTTTTTTTTTTGTTTTTTTGTTTGTTTGTTTGGAGTAGCTAGCTAGTTGTGGACCCGAGCAAAAACGAAAAAAGCGAATTTAATATTTATCGATAGAAGTGAACTGTGGATCCTGGTGGCAATCCGTGCATGCATGGGCTGGTTTTATAGTGTCCAACTGGGCCGAGTGCTACTGGTAGAGCAGTCGATAAAAATGAGGAGGTCTCGCTTCGTCGTCGACGCGGGTCTGCGTGATCGACATGG